CCACAAGTACACCCTAGTTAGGCAATGTCTTTGGTTGTATTGCCCGGCACTGGCCTACTCCTGCAAGGTGCTTCTCAACTCCAGGGGGCGCTGGCAACCAACCTTGACTCCCATTGCAGGACAGCTCTGCTAATGGTCTGTATCCTGACCCACAGCCCCACCCTCCCATTTCTGTCCTGGGCATTCTCATTTCCACAGCTCTGCTGATGCCCCTCAATCCTGACTCACAACCCCGGCAATTCTAGCCCCGGGATTCCCCCCAACCCCCGTCACTGTGGTGCCCCTCAGTCCCAGGCAGAGCTGTGCCAATGCATCTCAATCCCACCCCACCGCCACTCGGCCAGCCTGCTAGTCCTCCAGTTACTGCTGTCTGCGCCACCAACCCTTGAGTAGAGGGCGAGACCTAGTGACGCCATTAGGAGGTGTCTCAGTGAGACGCAGCAGAAGGCGGAATCATGTAAAAGACAGTGTGTCTAGTGGCAAACTAGAACCCCGTGAACAGAGGGGATGAGACTGAATGGACAAATGAACATACAGGGACTAAACCTCACACACGGAGAGGGCCACATCCTCAGTGGGTGTAAACTGGCATCACTCTCGTAGCTTCAGTGAAGCTCGGCCCATTTACTCTAGTTGGAACATGCGGTCTGTAAACCTTTCCAGTTCTGAAGATGCTGGGTTTTCCCTTCTGTTGGTAAACCGTATGGTCAATTGCTCAACCACAGTTTGTTTCATTATGCAATATGCCCAAATAACCAATATCAGTGTGGTTTATTGTTAATACTCAGTAACAGCTTATTACAGGAACAAAGGTTCAATACAACTCCAATTTCCGGGAACATCTCCTGCAGCAGTGCTAAATTCATCTTACAAAGAAGGCTTGTGTCCAAAGTCACAACCCTAAAGCTGTCCTTTTTATATCCAACCTGTTTACAAGGAAAGAGGTACTGTATGCATCCTCTGAGGCTAGTCTTAACCTACCATCTTTCTACCTTGTTTTTCTGGTACCACGCGGTACCCCTTAGCTCTTTGGTCTGGACTCAGGAATTCCAGGTACCAAGAGTGTGATGCACCTCCTAGACATCACAATATATATTGTCTTTATTTTTGGGACACTCCAGTGAGAGTAACTCCCTGCCTGTTACTACAGTAGAACACCCACAGGTGCTGATCCTGACAGTTTTCCTGGCTAATGCAAGATATCATGGGATAGCATAGGTGAACAAGACTATAGAAAGACACTGGCCACCATTACAGGCCATGTAACTGCTAGAGGAGTATATACAATGGAATGTTATATGCCTTAAGCACATACTATCCATATTACTATATGTAATTTGAATCATACCTATTGATCATGTGATATATTAGCCTGGCATATATGGGTGAACACTTCAGAGATAGATTTAACCAGACTGATCCGCAGTTCTCCCCTGGGATTCAGTAGCTGTTGAAGCAGTGGAAAGCCATCTTTGATCACTCCACGCTCTGGTCTCATACTGAACCCATCTCAGCCAGCCCCAGGAATCAGGCCCAGTAAATCTAAGGGTGTTTTAGTGGATCTGGATGGAGTCTCAGGTGGTGCAAGGTGAGCACTGGAGGGAGCAGAGGAAATTGCAGGTGACACCAATGTAGCGTAGGCCTAGGTGTAAATTCTAGCTTGAGGAGACATACCCGGGCTTGCTCTGACCCAGCTGGAGTGCTAGAAATAGAAGCATGGCCGCATTTGGGCAAGTAACAGGAGAGGCTCCCTGCCCCGACTACGATCCCGTCCAAGACCACAGGTACAAATCAGGGCAGCCAGCCCCTCCTGCCGCCATGGCAACACTTCTATTTCTAGCTACATGAGAGCTAGTGCGACTCCGTCTCCTTGAGCTGGAACGTTCACCTTCCAGCCCCAGCGCAGACAGACCCATGGGCCCCTCTGCACTCTCCGAGCCCCACCCGAGTTCAGCCCATGGACTTTGCTCCACTCACCCAATGGATACCTCGGGCAGGGCCGGCTCTAGCGTTTCTACCGCCCCAAGCAGCAAAAAAAAAAAAAAGCCGCAATCGCAAGCGGCAGGAGCTCTACTGCTGCTTCATTCTACGGCGGCAATTCGCCCGCCCCGGAATAGCCGCCGAACGGCCGGACGTGCCCCCTCTTCACTGGCCGCCCCAGGCACCTGCTTGCTACACTGGGGCCTGGAGCCGGCCCTGACCTCGGCTTCCCACGGTGGCTCAGACGCTGTCAGGGAAGGTCAATTCTGAGGATTCTGAGCTTTGTACCCTCCTTATCTTCGAGAAATTAGACAAGAAGCCAAGTCGACTCATGTCCTGTTGCATGTTATCGTATCAACCGACAGTACTGCCCACAGGAAAGCACCATCGTCTCAGCATGCCCTGCTCTCCTTCCTTCTGCCCTACCACTTCTCCCAGCCCCATCAGCATTTACTTTACTGAGTACCTCTGGGGGAAACTGACCACAGTGCAGAGGGCCTAGCACCGCATCACACAATCACAGAAATGGGGAGTTGAAGGGACCGCAGGAGGTGAAACAATCCATCCCCATGTGCTGAGGCAGGACCAAGTGCATCTAGACCATCTCTCGCAGGTGTTTGTCCAACCTGTTCTTAAACCCCTCAATAACAGGGATTCCACAAACTCCCTAGGTGGATTGAGGATAATCCATGGGACACAGTAATACCAGGGTACAAAATATATCAGAAGGACAGAACAGGTCATGCTGGTGGGGGAGTGGCACTAGAAAGCATTGAGTCAAAAGAAGTAAAAATCTTAAATGAACCAAACTGTATGATGGAATCTCTATGGATAGTAATTCCATGCTCAAATAATAATAATAATATAGCAGTAGGGATATACTACTGACCACCTGACCAGGATGGTGATAGGGACTGTGAAATGCTCAGGGAGGTTAGAGAGGCTATAACAATAAAAAACTCAATAATAATGGGGGATTTCAACTAGCCCCATATTGACTGGGTACTTGTCACCTACGGCGGGAGCCAGAGATAAAGTTTCTTGACACCTTAAATGAGTGTTTCTTGGAGCAGCTAGTCCTGGAACCCACAAGAGGAGAAGCAATTCTTGATTTAGTCCTAAGTGGAGCACAGGATCTTGTCCAAGAGATGAATATAGATGAACTGCTGGTAATAGTGACCGTAATATAATTACATTTACCATCCCTGGGTGGGGGGAACGCTACAGCAGACCACCACGGGAACATTTAATTTCAGAAAGGGGAACTGCACAAAAATGAGGAAGTTAGTTAAGGAGAAATGAAAAGGTACAGTGCCGAAAGTGAAATCTCTACAAGCTGCATGGAAACTTTTTTAAGACACTTTAATAGAGACTCAATTTAAACACATACCCCAAATTAAAAAACATAGTAAGAGA